CTGCAGAATCTCCATTACCAATCTCAGTGATGTAGCATCAGATGAACAAAATATAATAGTATCATCAGCATAGGCTAAATGATTAATTTTTGGACTCCACTTAGGCAGTCCAAAGCCACAGAAGTATAGGTTTAGATGCAAGGAATTCAAACCTCTTGATAGAGCTTCAGCTGCAATAATAAATAATGTTGGAGATAGTGGATCTCCCTGTTTGACACCCCTTGTTGATTTGAAAAAGCCATGAGACTGACCATTTATCAAAACAGAATACCAATTGTTTCCTACCAAGTCAAAGATCAATCCAATAAACCTCTCACAAAATCCTAGTTTCCTGAGCATTTTAGTTAAAAATAGCCAGGACAGCCTGTCATAGGCCTTAGTCATGTCCAATTTCATCACAACATTAGGTCCAGCCTTAGTCCTCAGCCTAATATCTGTAATAATTTCCTGAGTTAACAAAACATTTTCCACTATACTTCTCCCTTTCACAAAGCCTGCTTGTTCTTCAGATATTATATTAGGTAACAGTTCCACCAACCTTTCATGAATGACCCTTGAGAAAATCTTGTTGACAAAATTACTCAAACTTATAGGCCTCAAATCAGAAAATGTATTAACCTCCTTCTTCTTAGGTAATAATACCAGATTAGTGTGAGTGATACTTTTAGGTAATTGCTGCCCATTGAAGAAAGCCAGAACCATTGCATAAACATCATCTCCCACTATATCCCAACAAGTATGGAAGAAGGCTCCAGTAAAACCATCAGGTCCACCTGCAGAATCTCCATTTAAACCATAAACTGCCTTCTTAACTTCTTCTTTAGTAGGATTTGCTATCAGCATCTCATTTTGTTCCTCATCTATCAGTGTAGGCACATGATCCATAATATGAAATACTGAAGGCACTACATCTTCTGTGAATTGATCCCTATAAAAGTTGACAGCCTCTTCTGCAATTTGTACATCTTCCTCTATCCAGTTGCCATTACTGTCCTTAATTCTTTTCAGCTGCAATTTCTTCCTTCTTCCTTCTATCCAGTTGTATTTCTATCCCCATCTTTGAACCATGCCATTCCTGCTTTTTGTTTCCAAAATTCCTCCTCCAATGCCAGGTATCTAATCAATTCTGCCTTGACTTTATGTAACCTTTCCCTATTCATCTGAGTTGGAACTGCCTCAAATTGTTTCTCATGTACTAGGACCACCTCCTCTAAGCTTGCTATCTTTTGAAAAATGTCACCATAGGTTGATCTGCTCCATGATGACAGAATCTTCTTTAACTTTTTTAACTTGTGATTAAACATGATGAATGGATTTGCAGCAAAATCAGCAGACCAATTCTCCTTAACCACTGCCTTAAAATTTTCATGTTTTGTCCAGAAATTAAGAAATCTAAAAGGCTTCTTAATAGGTTCAACCTCTATGTCACACTTCAGCAACATGGGGCAATGATCAGACCCTGTCTTGGATAAGTGTGTGATCTCAAGGCCAGGGAATGTCTGCTGCAATTCCATGTTTCCAAGACACCTGTCCAATCTTTTAAATATACAGTCTTCCTCTGATCTTCCATTCCACCATGTATAGATGCTCCCTTTAAATCCTAGGTCTGCCAAATTACAAGTATTGATACAATGTCTAAAGTCATCTACCTCATTTAAAGAAACAAGGTAGTCCTCCAAATTTTTCTCCCTCATCCCATATGACATTGAAATCTCCTCCCACTAGCCATGGACTTGTCATATCTGTTGCCATTGCATATAGGGAATCCCACAGTTCTATCCTTTCTATAGGATCACATTTAGCATAAACCAGTGTGAGTATAAGTTCCACATGTGTTTCAGTGTGAAAAAGCTTTAGAGTTAATTGCTGCACCATATTGTAGAGAATTGTCACCTCAAAAACTTCATCTATGAAAGCCCATATTTTGTTTGAAACATTGACCACTGCCTGTGCCAAACCAATTCTATTCCTGTACCTCTCCACTTTGTTAGACTGCTGCATAGGCTCTATAATTCCTATAAATTCAAAGTGATGATGTCTATGCATGAGAATCAGTCTTTCAAAAGCCTGCATGGTATTCACTGACCTAACATTCCATATGATAGCATCCATTAGTGATTGAGTGATTTGGACAGTGTTCTTCTTGTTTGAACTCCACCTGCTGGAACAACTGGAGTGTCTTTTGGTTGTTTCTTTCTTCCCTTTGCTGCTGATTTAGCTTGTTCAATATGCCTAGGAGATAAATCCCCTTGTCTGGCCACATTGAGAAAGTTCTGAGCAGTGGATTCCTCATCCATATCCTTTCCTTCAGACCCAATAGCTGCTACCTCTGCAATTACTTGTGCTATGATGTTCTGCTGCATGGGAATCATTGCCTGTTCATCACTTTCCTTGTTGGCTGCTTGGTCTTTGGCTTCCTGATTTTCACCCCCTTGCTTCTTTGTGATTTGGACATTACTTATTGTATGTCTCACAGTGACATCAATGTCCTTCTGCTGTTCTGTTCCACCTGTATCTATGCTATTTCTATCTGGTCCATGTGTTACAGATTTCTCTGCTACAATGTTGTTCTCCTTGT